TACTACTACTACTTCTTCTTCTTCTACTACTACTACTACGATTATTACTACTACTACTACTACTACTACTACTACTACTACTACTCCAAATTCTACTACTGTTACTACTACTATGATACCAGAAAAATGACGCTACCGAGGAACCCCACATGCTTCATTGTACTGCTGTGTGCACTACGCTACCACTACCACCGACACCACCACGAGCTAGACGAGCCAGCGCAACAAACCAGACCAAGCAGATCAACCAGACAAGAGTACAGGCGCTGAACGACCGTTCCAAGACGTCGTCGTCGTCCTCGTCCTCGTCGTCGTCATCGTATTCGTCGTACTCGTAGTCGTACTCATCGTCGTACCTCGTCGTCGCACTCGACGTCAGATTCGTCGTCGTTGTCGTACTTCGTCTGAGCCGGCATGAGCCAAGGTGGCTAAAAAATCCTGGTGATAATACCGGTCCATCATCATCATCATCATCATCCTCCTCCTCCTCCTCCTCCTCCTCCTCCTCGTCATCATCATCATCATCATCATCATCATCATCATCATCATCATCATCATCGTCATCATCATCATCACCACCATCATCATCATCATCATCATCATCATCATCATCATCATCATCATCATCATCATCATCGTCATCGTCCCTGCCTTCCTCCCTTTTCGCCCTCATCCACCCCTCTCTCCGACAATTTCCCGCGTCCTCCACTCCTCGCCCACCCCTTCCTCCTAACCCTCACCCCCCCTCCTCCAACCCTGCTCGCGAAACTCCGTTCCCCCCCTCCCCCCGGAGCCCGAACCTCCAGCCTCGAGTCTGGACGCTTCCGATCGAGCCCCAGCTTTACCCCGACCCCGAGCCCTCGCCCGAGCCCGAGACCGAGCCCGAGTCCCCTCCCCCATGCTCCCGGTCCAGGGCGTCTGGCCCTCGGCGACGCTCATCGGCCTAGGGCGGCGGACCTCCCGCGCGCGGATGCGCGCCAGCCAGGTCCCCATAGCCCAGGCGTCACCGCTGCGCCGCGGGGCAGGAGCCGCCCGCCCTCTCGGGGGTCGGACGAGCGGGGGGAAGGGAGGAGGGAGGGAGGGAGAAAGCTCAGATAAACATAAATTGTCGGCGCTCCGCGCGGATTTCTTGGATCGGCGCTGGGTCCCCCCCCAGCGGCGACTCTGGCGCCGCCCCTGGCACGCTGCGCGCCAGGGAGAAAGTTCCAGCGACGATCCAATGAATCAGCGCGGACCTCCGAAAGTCTGTCTATATTCCTTGATCATCGAGAGAAGGAAGAAGGGAGGAGAAAGGAAGGAGAGAGTAGACATCCCAGGTGTGCAAAAGTAGCACTTCTGGTGGAAACGCTCGGCTAAGTTTGGTTTTGCCTTGGGCCGACGTGCGCATCGGCACTGCAGCGCGGAGCGCCCTTACAGCTCCTCCTTGCCCTTCGGCTTGGCCGCAGCCGCTTGTACTGCCTGCATGAGACCAAGTCCAGACGCCTTGATATCGTCGATCGTCGTCTTCTTGTCAGTTTGCAGCTTCTCGTAGGTGCCCTGCAGAGCCTTCACGTCTTCATCGAATTTTTTCCCTATGTCCTCAATCTCTTGTTTTTTTGCCGCGATCTGCTTTTCCAGCTCCTCCAACGGAATGGCCTGGAATTTAGCAATCTCGGCCTTCTTCTCCGCGTCGCATAGATCAATATTCGTCGGGCTGCACATGGGCTTGAGATTTGCCTTGGCGAACTTCTTGAGGGCGTCGTACTCCCGGCCGCCCTCGTAGGCCTCCAGAGAGCTGGGGTCGCCCCACTTGATGGTGGGGAAGCCTCAGGGACATCCACGGCGATAGCAACACCAAAAAAAACGACCGAACCGACAGTGAAACCGAAACCGACCGGACCCGACTCGAGCGAACGCAACCGAGAGAGGCGCAGCAACGCGGCAACGACACAACAACCGGCCGAACAGAACCGACCGAACGCGACCGAGCACGACGCAGCTGAACCGACCGAATCGCGGACACCCTTGCCTCTGACCCCGTGGGTCTCGCAGAGGGGCTTCGCTTTCTCGTCGGTGCAGTCAACGTCGGCGATCAGGCTGGTCTTTGCCCTCTCTCCCTTGTTCCAATTCTTCATCAGCTTGTCCCAGTCGGGTTTCATGCGCTTGCAGTGTCCTCACCACGGAGCCTGGAACTTGATAAAGACGGTTTTGCCCGCCGTCTGCGCGTCCCAGTTCTCGGGCGTCAGCTCGACTGCCGAGGCTGCGGCCGCGAGCCCAGAGGCAAAAAGGATCCCGAGTGCAGCCATGGCTTCCCAATGACAGACTGCCCACCTAAAACACAGCAAGCCTCGAGAATAACACCGATGTGGTGGAGCGACGCACGGCGAAAATATGGACACGCGCACCAACAACATGACCTGCCACAGCATCCCCAGTGCAAGCGCGCTGCTAAGTGTGGCGCGAATGTGCAATAATGGTGTACGTACAGCTTGGAGACACCATCCGCCCTTGGCAAAGCCGGTAACGACTCGGAATCAGCTGGCAACTAAAACTCCTGGCACGGATGTCCACAAATATCGTGCCCCAGCAACCTTCGTCGGCCTCCTTTTCATGCTTTTCCTCCGTGTCCTCCCTATGGCCCTCCTACCCTTCCTCCTCCTCCTCCTCCTCCTCATCCTCCTCCTCATCCTCCTCCTCCTCCCCCTCCTCCTCCTCCTCCTCCTCCTCCTCCTCCTCCTCCTTCTCTCTCCTCCTCCTCCTCCTCCTCCTCCTCCTCCTCCTCCTCCCCTCCTCCTCCTCCTCCCTCCTCCCCCCCCTCTCCTCCTTACTCTTCCTCCTCATTCCTCCTCCCACCTCCTCCTCCTCCTCCTTCCCTCTCCTCCTCACCTCCCTCTCCTCTCCTCCTCCTCCTCCTCCTCCTCCTCCTCCTCCTCCCTCTCTCCTCTCCTCCTCCCTCCACCTCCACCTCCTCCTCCTCCTCCTCCTCCTCCTCCTCCTCCTCCTCCTCCTCCATTTTGGCTCAAGGGTTCAAGGGCTCCAAGGGCTCCACACCCAAGGGCTCTACACCTTACCACCCCTTTCCGCATTCACCGATTACATCCTCCATTATTTCACTCACATCTTATCCCGATGGAAGGTTTCCGTAAGGCAATGTTTGCTACTGACTCCACTCCAGATCCCAAAAAGGCCAGAGAAGGAGAAGGACCTGGGGAGGATCAGGAGCCTGAACTCAACCAACGCGACCAGGCTCTCGTCGACGCCATGGCGAAGCGCATGAGCATCATCACGGACGACAAATTGGCCAAGTACGGCAGCAACACTCAGGAGCAGTTCAAGAATGTCCAACACCAGATCGATGAGATCAAGAAGTGCTCGAAGGCCGAGCTTAAAGCACTCCACGAACAGACTGGCAACACAGCTACGCAGGTGCAACAACTACAGCAAACCATCGAACACATGAATAGCATGGGCATCAGCAAAACAAACGACAGGAACCTGTAACTGGTTGCGCACGGTTTCCCGCACGACACCTCCGAGACGACTGTCGCAGAGTACCTCGAGAAGCTCATCGAGGAGAAGAACTACGAGGACCGCGTGCAGAACGTCTTCTGCATGACCGACCCCACCAGCGTCGGATGCATCGAGTTCCGCACGTTAGCTAGCAAAAACGGCTTCCACAAGATGATGAGAGAGAATCCAATAAAAGTACAAGGAGCATCCTCAGAAAAGAGTTTGCGACTCACCGACAACCTCACGAAGACGGAACGGCGGGACATGAAACAGCTCGGCTTCACCAAGTACCACCTCAACCGCCTCTTGGGCATCCCGCTCGAGAACATACGCATCATGAGGGACACACTTTCGATTCAGGTGTTGGGGAAGATGGCGGCCATCATCGTGAACGGGGAGATTGAGTACCACAACCAGGGTGTCGAAGTGAAGGTATCTGTGAGCCAGTCTATGCGCGAATGGGACGCCAAAGGCCCAAAAAACGAGTGAGACGGGTGCGGTCCCAGACCGCCCCGGACAGGTTTGAAGATTTGCTTAATTCGTTTTGGTATTCGATGTGTTGTCATCCCCCCTCTGTCCTCTCCTCCCCCCTGCCTAGCGGTGCAAGGACACCTCCCCTTGAGAGTACCAATTTCTTCCAGAATTCAGATCGAGACAAATTCGGTGATTTTCTTTCCTACCCCCCTCTTCAGGAACTCAGCCCTCAGGATCAGCACCATCGACGCCGACGTCGCGACCATCTACGAGCGCAGCGCCGACAAACAGCATGGGAGGTGGCAGATCTATTTTTGCACACGCCGACGGCGACGTACCCATCAGCATCTTGACAGCGTTACGGCCCAAAACAGCGCCAACACAGACCGACCAGCACCACCCACCAGCGCCCACCACCCACCGCGAACAACCAGCAACGCCACAAGCAGCGCCGGCCCATACCGACCAGCAGTCCACCACCAACCGCGACCAACCAGCAAAATCACAAGCAACACCGACACAGACCGACTAGCAGCCCACTTCCAACCGCGACCACCCAGCAACACAACAGTCAACACCGACCCCGACCGACCAGCAGCTCCCACCAGCGCCCATCACCAACCGCGACCGACCAGCAGCACCACGAGCAACATCAACCCATACCGACCAGCAGCCCACCACCCACCGCGACCGACCAGCAACACCACAGGCAGCACCGACACATACAGACCAGCAGCCCACCGCCAACCGCGACCGACCAGCAACACCAGGGACAGCACCGACCCAGCCCGACCAGCAACTCCATCCAGCGTCCACGGCCAACCGCGACCAACCAGCATCACAAGCAACGCCGACCCATACCGACCAGCAGCCCAATACCAACCGCGACCGGCCAGCAACGCCACAATTCACACCGACCCATACCGACCAGCAACTCCCACCAGCGCCCACCACCGACCGTGACCGACCAGCAGCACCAAGAGCAGCATCGACACAGACCGACCAGCAGTCCACCACCCACCGCGACCCACCAGCAACACCACCAGCAACATCGACCCTGACCAACCAGCAGCCCACCACCAACCGCGACCGACCAGCAACACCAGAGACAGCCCCGACCCAGACAGCAACTCCATCCAGCATCCACAACAAACCGAGAACGAACAGCAACACCACAAGCAGCACCCACAAAGACCGACCAGCAGCCCACCACCCACCGCGACCGACCATCGACGCCAGAGGCAACGCCGACCCATACCGACCAGCAGCTCCTTCCCGCGCCCACCGACAACCGCGACCGACCAGCAACACCACAAGCAACGCCGACCCATACCGACCGGCAGCCCACCACCAACCGCCAACCAGCAACACCACAAGCAGCACCGACACAGACCGACCAACACCACCCACCAGTGCCCATCAGCAAACGCGACCGACCAGCAGCACCACGAGCAGCACCGACCCATGCCGACCAGCAGCCCACCAACCGTGACCGACCAGCAACGCCACGGGCGGCACCGACCCAGACCGACCAGCAATTTCCACCAACACCCACCAGCAACTGCGACCGACCGCAGCACCACGAGCAGAACCGACCCATATCGACCAGCACTTCACCACAAACCGCGACCGACCAGCAACGGCAACACCAACCCATGCCGTCCAGCAGCTTCCACCTCCCCTCCCCTACTCTTCTCCCCTACGTCCCCCTCCCTTCCCCTCCAACCCAACCCTGTCCGGCGCATCAAGAGGCAAACTGCGACGAGTCTGGCATCATCAATCTCACAGTCATCCAACAGAATGCAAGGTCTTTGGAGACGAACGACCGGATCGATGAACTTTGCATGATTTGTGTGGCTCGCATTGGGATGCAGTTCTAATCAACGAAACTTGGCGGACACTACAGCGCGAGTTATGGATTACTACAGAAGGGACACACTTTTGCGGAGTCTGGCAACAAGACCCGTTCCCGCGGAGTCGCAATCCTTTTACACAAGCGTTGGAGCAGACAGGTGTCAGAGTTCCAGGCCAGCAATGCAAGAATCGCGGCTCTCAACATCAGGAAGGGGACGCTTAGATTACAATTGGTATCGGCATACTTTCCGCACACTGGGTACACGGACGACCACATCCAACAGTTGTACGACCTCGCCAGCGCTCTACTCAAAGAAGGACGTTCCCAAGGCATACACACAATTATGGGTGCCCACTTCAACGCCAAAGTTGGTTCTCAACCACGCTTTCCGAATGGACGCCCAAGCGAAGACACCGATCTTGCACAACCCCGAGGCAACATCTGTTCCCACTACATGGGGCCTCACGGGTTCGGCGACGAAATCTCCCGAGGCCAATGGTTACGACATTGGGCTACAAACGAACGGCTTGCACTCGTAAACACTTTCTTCCGCAAACGTCCAGACAAGCTGATCACTTACACAACGACAAGCGGCAAACCAAGGCAGTACGATTATATACTTGTATACAGGTGCTTATTACCTTCATGCCGGGACGCCGAAGCCAACAACGCGATTGATCTTAACTCCGACCACAAGGCGGTATCTCTGCACATGCGCCTCAAAATGTTGGGTCCCAGCACTGACAGACTCCAGCGACTGACCAGACGCAGCAACAACCAGGAGCAAACACACACTGACCCCAACACGTATCGACATCCTCTGGGCTCCAAGCTGCAACCCGAGTTACTGCCAGATGACCCCGACGAACTAAACAAAACAATCGAAAGCAGTCTGACCGACGCCACGCTACAGAGCGCACCCCCCAGCAAAGCTAGCAGGTACGACAACCTCACCATACCAGACGACATTATCACCAACCTTGTGGAGCAACGCAAATGTATCCCAAGCATAGACACGAGCAGCCGACGGACGATCAGCAAAGCAATACAGAAACACATTAGACATCAGAAGCGCACCAAACGACGACAGCAGATCAGCACCATCCTCGAGCAGCACAGGGACACCCAAAGAATCAACTCCATCAAGACGAGAAGGAAACGAGCGCTCATTACGGAAATGGTTGGTAACGACGGCACCAAACGCACGACTCGCCAAGGCATTCCTGATGTGTTCGCGACGTTCTACGAGGAGCTGAACAATTCAACCAGCACCAATGACGATCGACGCCCAGCAGCACATCGCACCTTTCACGGCGCAAGAACTCGACACGGCAATCTCGCAACTCAAGCTGGGGAAGCCACCCGAAACCGAATGGATCACAGCAGAAATGCTCAAGAACCCATGCCCGGAACTTCAAAATGCTTTACTTTTTTTTTCCTCCCCGCAAACACACACCAGTTTCAGCCCCTGCTCCGAAACAGTACGGCCAAACAAAAAGGCACGCTCGGTCGTATTGAGTCCGCTTCCCCTCATGGGGGCTATGCCAGCACCCATTGAAGCGCGCACGGACCTTGAAAGGGAGCCCATGGAGCGAAGTCCGGCGGCCGCTGCGGATTACCCTACAGATTCAACGCCGACCCAGGGGAAGAGGGACGAGGAGACGAGGGGAGGAAACGGAAGGGGGACAAACTGGCAATGGCCCCGGGCTCGGGGAGACTCGCCTGCCATTAAACTGCGGACTTGAAACTCCGACCAGCCGCCGCCTCCTCGGAGAGACGATGCAGAATGGCGACACATACGAACTACCCAGTCATGTGCTAGAGGTGATCCGCGTCCCCTCAAGGGGGTTTATAGCCAAACCCATCGAAGAACCGCTGTCGCCGCCCGGCAACGCGTAGGATACGGGTTCGATCCACCCGGAATCCCAAAAGCGAGCGAGGAGGGAAGGGAGGAAGACGAAACAACACAGCCTAACTGTACAGCGCCTCCTGCCGGAGCAGAGGAGCCAGGCCCAGTGCGGCCGGCATCACTGCAACAGATTGTCATCAAGTACGTCGACGAAATAGTGGAAGAACGAGACCCCTGGGCGAATGCACTGGGGGTGGGGAGCAGCGCCAGAACGGAAGGGCGTCCGCTCGCGCCCGCACGGGGGCCAACCGCGAATTCCGGGCAAGACGGGGCGGAACGCCCGGCAAGCGCACATGGCGTTTGGCGGGACGTTGGCGCCGCCCGCGCGGAAGCGACGGGCCCGCGGGCAGATGGCGCGCGCAATCAGGAGTACCCACTCCTCCTATGCAGCGCCACCCTGGGTATACAAAAAACATCATGCACGCCACCATGCAGACTAAAGAAAGCGGATGCGCGGAGCCGCCAGCAACGAAACTCACGGGGGGGAGAGAGGAGGAGGAGGAGGAGGCGGAGGACGGAGGAGGGAGGGGAGGGGGACCGCCCTCGACGAGCGTCACGGCTGCGCCACTGGCCCTGCGGCTGGCCTGCACCACACTTGAAACAAAGAGGAGGGGAGGAGCGGAGGCGGAGGACGGAGGCAGAGGACGGAGGAGGGAGGGGAGGGGGACCGCCCTCGACGAGCGTCTCGGCTGCGCCACTGGCCCTGCGGCTGGCCTGCACCACAATTGAAACAAAGGGGTGGGGAGGAGCGGAGGCGGAGGACGGAGGCGGAGGACGGAGGAGGGAGGGGAGGGGGACCGCCCTCGACGAGCGTCTCGGCTGCACCACTGGCCCTGCGGCTGGCCTACACCACAATTGAAACAAAGGGGTGGGGAGGAGCGGAGGTGGAGGACGGAGGCGGAGGACGGAGGAGGGAGGGGAGGGGGACCGCCCTCGACGAGCGTCACGGCTGCGCCACTGGCCCTGCGGCTGGCCTGCACCACGCTTGAAACAAAGAGGAGGGGAGGAGCGGAGGCGGAGGACGGAGGCAGAGGACGGAGGAGGGAGGGGAGGGGGACCGCCCTCGACGAGCGTCTCGGCTGCGCCACTGGCCCTGCGGCTGGCCTGCACCACAATTGAAACAAAGGGGTGGGGAGGAGCGGAAGCGGAGGACGGAGGCGGAGGACGGAGGAGGGAGGGGAGGGGGACCGCCCTCGACGAGCGTCTCGGCTGCACCACTGGCCCTGCGGCTGGCCTACACCACAATTGAAACAAAGGGGAGGGGAGGAGCCGAGGCGGAGGACGGAGGGGAGGGGGACCGCCCTCGACGAGCGTCTCGGCTGCGCCACTGGCCCTGCGGCTGGCCTGCACCACAATTGAAACAAAGGGGCAGGGGGCAACAACGGGGACCGGCCAGAAATCGAGGATAGGCCGGCACGACCAAAATCGAACCACACGCCGTAACGGTCTGGACGGCCGTTGCTTGCAAGAAACGGAGACAGACGTAAAAATCAACGCGCCGCGCACCGAGCCTCACCTGTCCGCCGCGGCCGGGCGCCGCCAGATGCTCGAGAGAAGTCTTTCCGACGGCGCGTGGCCAGCAGCAGCGTCGCGTAGACCTTGCTGGAGAGCCCGCGCGCCTTCAGGGGCGGGGAGACCCCCCGTGCGGCGAGCCGCGTTGGTGGCCCGGTAGGCGGCGTACGCGCCGAACGCTCCAAGAACCACCACGTTCTCCTCGTGCTGGGCGTCGTCGATGCCGATCCAAAGTGGAAGGTGCCAGTCACGGCGAATCTTCAAAGAACTGGTGAGCTCTCTTCTCACCACCGCGCACCGCGAGTAATGCTCGATGCTGTCGCGTCCGCAACCACACCCCAAAACGCAGAAATCCTGTGATCCATCACGGCGCTGAAACCGTCGAGCAGTGCACCAGCCGTTCCAAGCAGTTCGGAAAACGGCCGCGGCGACTCGAGGCGGCACCAGGCGCCCGAGCGCCCGGACATGTTGAAGGAATCTGTCTGCAAGCACCCGCGGCGTTGGCAACCCAGGCGCCCGTGGGAACTTCCAGCGTTCCAGCTTATCTCTGACGCGCATATGGATGCGGTCCGGGTGCAGTGAGTGTACCCGCCGGCGCACCTCCCGCTGGAATGAATGCCGGGCCTGCTCCCACGCCTCGGCCGGCAGCGCCTCAGGGCTCTGTCCAGTCAGCGCAGCGACAACTCGTTCGGCCGTGATGCCCTTTCGGTGGAGTTGCCACGCGTTGCGCGCGAGGACGCTGGGGGCGGAGGCGTGCAGCCAGCCTGCCCAACGCGCAACGCGCAACATGTACTGCGACTGATTCCACTCCGCTCGAAGCTCAAGCGTCATCCGCTCCAGGCTGGTTCTGTTGAGCCTCCGATCCTCGTACGCAGCCAGGCGGAGTTGCGCCGCCTGCGCCAGCGTGGCCAGCTGCCCGAAAGCCTGCGGCATGCCGAAGTTCCGGTCAAGTTGCCACAGATCTTCCGGCATTGCCCAGTTTCCAGGGCCAGGAGCAGCTCGTCGCAAGGACCACTTCTCCAGCTCGCCGACAGCGACGTCCACGTCCGCAATCTGGGCAGTGAAACTCAACACTGGGAGCGCGTACACATTGTAGACAAATGTGGCGAAGTGCAGGCCCAACTCCGGCCACGGCCACCCGGACACGCGATCCTGGAAACGCGCGGCTGCACGATCCCACTCCTTGCCAACCTTGCCTGGGCCGATGGCGCACCCGAGGTAGGTGGCCTCGCGGGACAGGGGGAGCTGGGACCAAGACGGCGCAGCCTCGCTGACCACTGCACGCGCTTCCTCCAAACTGTCACCCCACAGTGGGATGCCGATTGTCTTCTCCAGATTGACTTGCATGCCCGAGAGGCGGCCGAACTCTTCGAGCGCGGCAGCAAGGATCGGCAGTTGCTTGGGCACGTCGTCCAAGATGATGCCCACGTCGTCGGCGAACGCGCGGATGAGGCACCCGCCGCCGAGCCGGAGCTGGAGCACGCGTAGGAGTAGATCCATGCAGGCGGCAAACACCAGAGGCGACAGTGGACAGCCTTGGCGGATGCCCGATCCAACGGCAAAGCCGCTCCATAAGCCACCAGCGACCGAGATGGAGCAAGCCCCGTCCGCGTAGAAAGCTCGAAGTGCAGTCAGGGCCTCCTCCGGCACGCCGTAGCCGCGCAAGCACCCGTGCAGGAAGTCGTGCGCCACGCTGGGGAACGCGGCGCGGAAATCCACGAGCACTACCATGCCCTGGGCACATTTGGCCGCGGTCCGAAGAGCGCCCGCCTCAAGCTCGATGACGTTCAGCATCATTGAGCGGCCAGGCAGGAAGCCGCGCTGGGGTTCGGAGACCCACGGCCCGAGCCCCTGCTCCCACCTCCGTTTGTACGCCGAGGCGAGCAACCGATTCGACACGTCCACCAGGCATAGTGGTCTCGTGTTTCCGGCTTGGTGGACTGCGCCTAACACTGGGTCCATGTCCCCTGCTTTTTTCGGGATGCAACAGAGCACGCCGAGGTTGAAGGAGCATGTCCCGTCCGGATCATCTTGGCACGCCTCTCTGATATCGTGCACTGCGGAATCGGACCGGAGGCAGGTCGCCACGTCCTCCAGCGCGTCCACTGCCAAACTCCCGAGACGCTTCCACAGACAAGCCGGGATTCCATCCGGGCCAGGCGCAGAGTTAGACGCCGTGCGGACAGCCCACGCAATGTCTGCCCTGGTGGTGTGCCAGAACTCGCTGCCCCGAGGCAGCGGGCTGCGTTCCCAGGTGGGCGCCGCCTCGCGTAACCACTCTGACAAGGCGTCCTGGTCGATATCTTGCCTGCCGAATACGAGTCTCCAGTGCTGGGCCAGGGCGTCGGCGATCTGCTCCGGGTCCGTGGTCACCGAGCCGTCGGGCTTCCGGATTGCACGGAGCTGGGCGGTGCCCCCCGGTTTGAGGCGACGAATCTTCATGGCGATTGATTCTCTGTGAGCTGCCGCGGAAGCGTCCGACATGACAGGCAGTTCGTTGTGCAGCCTGGCGACATATTGGCGGATCTCGTCCCTCGCGAGCTGGAGGATGATGTCTTTGAGGCTCTCGATGGCCGCTGGAGCTCCCCGGAGCAACTCTGGGATGGATAGCCTGCGTGCGATGTCCGGGAAATCCCGCACTGCCCGCTCCACAGCCAGCGGCCCCCCCTCCTCGGCCGCCCGCAAGCAGCGCATAGCGACGCTCAGGCGGTCTTCCGCTGAGGTCGCCTCGGAGGAGGTAGTTCCACGAGCCGACTCCTCCATGCATATCTGGCCGATTGCTCGTTTGAGCAACAGCAGCCGGCGGTGTGCTGTGTCGCGCAAGCTGTCCCGTCGACGCAGGTCTTGCCAGCGAAGCGTCACCCGGGCCGCCCACCCCGTCGAGCGCGATGGAGCTGCGGGGATTGGCCGCCTTCTGGGGGTCTCCTGTCCCGGAGTGCGCCTGGCGGTCTCGATCGGCCGGTGGTGTGAAAGTCTGCTGCACCAGTCAAGCGCCGTGCACGTCCAGGTCCGGTACAGCTGGTCCGCGATGTGCGTGTTCACGTATGCCCGGTCCAACCGCGAGGTGCTCGAAGAAGTCCGATGGGCGCACTCCGGTTGAAAAACCTCGTGGAAGCCGAGCGGCTCAAAGAGCGTAGTGGCCCAATCCCGGTGTTCCTCCACGTCGGAGCCGGGGGACCATTCAGCATCGGACAAGTTAAGCCTGTCATTTGCCTCGCGTACAAAATTCCAATCCCCAATCAGCATAGTAGTAGCCCGGTCGCGCGGCCGAAGATCACGTATCACCGAGGCTCTGATTGCCGCCCGCTCATCGGACGCATGCCCAGTAGGGAGGTACAAGACGGCAGTGTCCAGCGAGCCAGTCGAACCGTCCAATCTCAGGATAGCCGCCCGTCCTGGCGTAGTCTCCACCCAGGTAGCACGAGAGGCACCTCCAAACTTGTCCAAGAACGCGGTCTTGACCAGTAGCCCTACTCCGCCGATCGATTGGGACCCATGGGACCACCAAGTAGCGATGCTGTTCGGGAACTTCGCCACAGCCGCGGCCCCAAGCGTGCTGTGCGTCTCCTGCAGAGCCAGAAAATCAGCAGAGCGCAATAGATTCAAGCAGTGCGCCCTCTTCTGCCGGTGCCGCTTGGAGTCGCGCGCGAAGAGGGCCTGCGCGTTCCAGCTCCGGCCCACCACGTCCCCTGAGTACGGGGATCCACGAGTGCGATGCGTGCCAAACGAGGCAGGCCCGCTCGGCGACGCTGGTGATGGCTGCGGTGATGGAGGTCTGGCCGACGAGGTGGTCGGGCTGCGTCGGGCTGCGTCGGGCCGCGTCGGGCCGCATCGGGCCGCGTCGGGCCGCGTCGGGCTGCGTCGGGCTGCGTCGGGCTGCGTCGGGTCGACGTGGGGTCGTCTGAGGCTCACGGGGGGGGCATCGTGGGGACGTCGGGGGAACGTCGAGGGGTCGTCGGGGGGTCGGGAAATCTGCGTCGGGCTGCGTCGGGCGGCGCCGGATCCCGTCAGGCCGCGTCGTCGTGGGGTCATGGGGTCGTCGAGGCGTCGTCTGGAGCTCGTAGGGGGGTCACCGTGGGGTCGTCGTGGGGTCGTCGAGGGGTCGTCGGGGGGTCGGGAAGCCTGCGTCGGGCTGCGTCGGGCTGCGTCGGATCCCGTCAGGCCGCGTCGTCGGAGGGTCATGGGGTCGTCGTGGCGTCGTCTTTAGCTCGTAGGGGGGTCACCGTGGGGTCGTCGAGGGGTCGTCGAGGGGTCGTCGGGGGGCGGGGCGGGGTCGTCGCCGGGTCGTCGGGCTTCCCGGGGTGGGCATGCCCGAAGGGAGCGTGATCGCGAAGCCGGGGGGCGTCGCCTGGTGGAGCCCCCAGCGGAGGCTGAGTAAGAACAGGCGGAGGGTTGGGCAGAAGCGGCGGCAGAGCTCGAAGCTACGAGCTCTGAGGTCCGAGCCGCGGGCACTGGCTGAGCCGGCAGAGATGATGTCTGTGAAGCAATATCAGTAACCAAATTCGCGTCGGCCCCTGAGCCTGCAGAAATCGTCGGAGTACGAGTGGTAGGAGATGCCCCCGAGGAAGATCTGGACGTGCACGGCATAAAAAAGGAACGATTGCAGGCAGAAGGGATTGAATTCGATGCTGGCTCAACGTCACACCATCGAAGTATGACGTACTCGCGACGTCTCTTCTGGACGCCGCGCCGACCGTCGTGGCCATCAGGCCTGCGCCCCCCGCTGGGCGCGAAACGTCCCGGCAGCCAGGTCGGAGCTGAGGATCTGGATAGGCGTCCGGGACCCGTTCATCTCGACGATGTCCCCCTGCACGGCTTCCTGGAGTCGCTTGACCTCCGAGGTGTTCCCAAGGCGGAAGTTGACGGTGCCAGTCGGCTCCCCTGATGCAGAGAGCTGGCATGACCAGGAGTTCGGAGGGAGCTCGCCTGGCAGCGCGTGCTGGGACCATGCGAAGCCCATCTTCCGGCCAGCAGCGTCCATCACCTGCGCGAGCAGCTCGAACGGGCGAGCTCCCAGGGGGCCTGTCAGTCGCAGCTGCCCTGATGCCGGCGCGGTAGGGCGCCCACTCCGCCTCGCCCGGTCGCGCGCCACAACGCCCGAAATCACCGTGTCCAGCGTGCGGGGACGGGCCCAAGGCCGCCCACCGTGCGAGGATCGTCGCCAACGAAGCTGGACAGCTGCGTAGCCGGGGTCGTCGCGCAAGATCTTCGCCAGCTCGGTCTCCCATTCCGGTGCTGACGCATTGGTGTGCAGGATCGCGAGGGTCGGGGAGACCAACGGGACATCGTCGTACAAGCCCTGGAGGTTGACCAGAACTTGCGGAGAGGCGTGCTCCAAAACGTGCGCCCCCTTATTTGCCAGGAGCGCCTGGTTGCCAACCAGCGCGGTTGACAGGAGCGGGTCGTTGCGAAGCTGGCGGATGAGGAAGTGCACGCCCAGGTCCGAAAATGCATCCCGAGCAGCGTACACCTTGAAGAGGATGCGGCGGCCGTCCGGCACAGAGCCGAGGCTGCGGAAGGGGCCCTCCCATCTGACGCCGTGCTGCGACACCATCGGGGCGAGAGCACGTCGCGCTTGCAGTCCTGATTGCGCCTCCACGTCCACCCAGATCACGTGGGACGAGTCCTCGGAGTAGAGTGCTGGGCGCCACGAGGCCAGTCGCGCGGGGACCCCACCTCCGGCCCTGGTGAGATGAAAGGCCGAGAAGCCCTTGTTGACCGTGGCCGCCGAGTTGTGCACGGTGGTTGCAATGAGCGCTGGTTCTTGCAGATGGACCGCCGCCGTGACTAGATGCGACTTTTTGCCATTCAGAAGGGCGTGGCGCCAGAGGTCCTCGAGCATGCAGGCCTCTCCAAAATCAGGTAGAGGCTCCCGTTCGCACAGCATCAAGAACTCGATGTCCATGCCCTGCAGGAAGGCGTGCTCGATGCCACTCAGGAGGCGGTGAAGATGTTCTGACTCCCGCGGTGCCCACATCACAATGCCGCCGGCTCCGAGAGCGGTCCACGCCGCCAGCGCCCTCTCCTTACCCTTCGCCATCTCCTCCATCAGTTTCCGGGCTGGCCCAACTTCGAGACGCCCTTCGCGGCCAGGGCAGCCAGAGGCGCATACGTCCGACAGCCACAAAGCGGAGGCCCACTGTCGCGAGGCGCCGCCGATCTTGATGATCTCCGTGCCAACCCACTGCTCCAATGCCGAGGGAGGTTCCAAATACGCTGGTGGCGTGTAACCTCCACTCTGGCGGCGATCACGGAGTACAGAAGGAAGGAGACGAAGACACTCAGTACGAGCATTGGCTATGGAGTCCTCGGCATTCTTCGCCCCTGCCTTGCATGGGTCGGACCAAGAGGTAAGCAGCTTCGTCACCGACAGAACCAGTTGCGCCCTACGGACCCTGTCCTCGATGTCCTCCACAGTGGGGCATGCCCCAGCCTTGGGTTCCATTCCGAGGCGCCGCCAGCACGACGAAGATGCCGAGAAATCGTAGCCGACAGCTTCGAGGTATGACCGGAGGTCGGGCCATGACTCGAAAACCTTATCTCCTGCAGGGAGGCGCAGTGCTCTGTCCGATCCTTCAGCACGTGTCCTCACCAGAGCATTAATGAACTCGATGTTCGCGAGGACGGTTTCCTGTGACCACTCTGTCCATCCCTCCGCCACCAGCGGCTCGACGCGCCCGTTCGGGGGGGGCGGCTGCGCCTCTGCGGTGTTATCGGCTGTCTGGGCGAGGCCTGGGGGCGGCACCGCGCGGGCGGTAGAATGTTGAAGCTGAAGACGTGCGGCGTCCTGCGTGAGGCCTGTGCTCGTGCCCTCCGTGTCCTCGGCCATTGCGGTGTCGGTGTTCTGCATGCCTCCCTGGAGTCTCAGCCCCATAAATATAATCGCCTCGTTCTGGACATTGTACTCGCTGAGCTTCCGGCCCGACTCCATCTGCCTACCTGCGTAGATCAAGCGCTGCTGGTCTGGGGGGACGCCCTCCTTGTCCTGGATCAAGAGCTTGAAGGAGTCGATCGTGCTGTCGGCCTGGATGTCCAAAGAGAACGGCTTCCTGTCAGGAAGCTTTACCAAGATGTGCAAGGCCGAGGCGGCGTCGTAGACCAGCTCGTCAAGTATCTCGTCGTCGTGGTCGCTGTGAACGCCGCCATCGTGGAGATCCTCGTCGTGGGCGTCGTCCTGGACATCATTGCCGTCATCGTGGTCGTCGTGGGCGCCGTCCTGATCTTCATGGTCGACGTCGTGAGCGTCATCGTTGGTGTCTGTCGGGTCGTTGTTATGATCGTCATCGTGGTCGTCGTGGGGCGGGGTCGGAGCTGGAGTCGGGAAGATCAGGAAATGCTCCACGATGAGAATGTAAATCATGCCGACGATCGTGGCAAGCTCCCCGAGGATCCTGATAAGCTCCACGGGGACCGTGAAAATCATGCTGAAGAGCGCGAAATACTCCAAGGAGATCATGAAATACTCCGCGAAGATCGCGAAATTAATGCCGAAGATCACGAAATGCTCCATGATGATCGCGACATGCTCCACGATGATCGTGAAAATCATGCCGAAGGACCCGACATGCTCTTCGCAGTTGTTGGTAATGCTGTCATCGTCGTTGATCTGCAGCTGCGGGGAGAGTCCTGTAGGCTGGCATTCCTCCCTGATGGGGCGGCACGAAACGGAGGAGGACCTCGAGGGATCGTGGGGGTGGCCAGGGGAGGGTGGAGGAACCGGACGATGCGGCGGGGAGGGGACATCAGAAGAAGGGGGCACCCCGTCGGTCCCTACGGCATCCCCCGCCGCGGGTTCCACGCCCCCCCCGAAAGTCCGGCCATCTCCCCAGATCCTGGACGCCGAGGGATCGGGTGCGACCCCTTTCAACGCCACGTCCATGTGGGCGACGTCCGGGTCCAGCGCAGCGCCTGCGGCGCGCCAGGGACGCCCCGCGTCGGCGTGGCGCTGGCGCAGCGGCCGGGCCAGCTGAGCGCTCATCGCGGCAGGAGCCGGCGGGCAGGAGCCGGCGGGCAGGGCGGAAATGTTACTTAAGACCGGGTTTTCGATGGCTTGACTGAAGAATTAAACTTCAAAATGCTTTACTGCAGCTATGCGACACCGTCCTCAAACCGAACGCCCCCACACCAGCAAGCTGGAGGAAAACAGTGCGAGCCGCCGAGCCCATCAAACCCGCCCCAATCAAGCGACGGCAGCACCGACCCATCCCACTCGACACAGACACGCCAGCACGCGGCAGACGATGCCGAACTTTGGTCTGACTACATCCGCTGGTGCACCCGCAGAGCGGAGGAACTCATGCGCATGCACGACATCCTGGACGCCAGCCACATGCATCGCAGAATTGTTTGGCAGTGGGCAGCACGTGTAGCGACCCGCCCACCGCACAGGTGGACACAGCGAGTTCTTAAATGGAGTCCTAACACTGATATAAATCAACAGGTTTATCGACAACACGGCGGCCAACACAAACGATGGGACCACGATATTCGGCAGTTTTAAACAATGTGCATCGACATACTGGTCAAGAGATCACGCAGAGCGACGCCAACGACGCCACCCAGCCACGACGATACCTCCGCCGCGACACCAACAACGCGAGATGGCTCACAGCTGCGCCGCAGACGACATGGTGGAACTCACTCGAGGGAGCCTTCGTGGCAGCATGATTCGTGGTACTTTCCGACTTCCGACTTCCGACTCCAGCTCCCATCTCTCTCACTTTACGGTTCTGGCTCCAGCTCGCATTGTTGATGGCCATTCCGGCTCCCATCTTCCCGACTCCGCTCCGACTTCAGCTCCCAAATTTCCGACTATCCCATCCCATCTCTCCGACTCCGGCTCCAACGCTGGATCCCATCTCTCCGACTCCCGTTCCGACCCTGGCTCACATCCTTCCGACCCCGGCTCCGAGTCCAGCTTCAAATTTTTCGACTCCAGCTCCCATCTTATCTCTCCGACTCCGGCTGCACTCCTGGATCCCATCTCTCCGACTCCGGCTCCGACTCCAGCTCTCAAATTCCCGACTCTCTCATCCCATCTCTCGGACTCCGGCTCCAACGCCGGATCCCATCTCTTCGACTCCATTTCCGACCCAGCTCACATCCTTCGGACCCCGGCTCCGACTCCAGCTCCCAGTTTTCCGGCCCGTCCTATCTCTCCGACTCCGGCTCCAACCCTCGATCCCATCTCTCCGACTCCGGCTCCGACTCGAGCTCTCAAATTTCCAACTACCCCATCCCATCTTTCCGACTCCGGCTCCAATCCCATCTCTCCAACTCCCGTTCCGACCCCGGCTCACATCCTTCCGACCCCGGATCCGACTCCAGCTCCCATTTTTCGACTCTGGCTCCCATCCCATCTCATCTCTCCGACTCCGGCTCCACTCCTGGATCCCATCTCTCCGACTCCAGCTCCGACTCCAGCTCCCAAATGTGCGACTGCCATGTGACCATACGAGTGTGAAGCATCAACGACGGAATCACTATCCACGACACGCACACACAACGATTCCGACAACAAGGATGCCTCTCCCTCCCCCCTTCCTCCCCTCTGACGCACTAAATTTATTATGTGTCTCGAATGCACGCTTTACCATACACCACAGTATCTTGGCGCCACGGCGCCACCGCTCCGTTCCCAGAGGGACCGCGCCGGGGCGCGCATGCGATCGTCCGTCCGTCCTCCTCCTCCTCCCTCATTCATCCCCGTCCTGCTCCTGGTTTGCTGGCTTTGTCTATGCGTTGAACGATGCCTGTGGGATGTGTGCGGACGTCAGTTTAACAGGTGTCAAACGAAAAAAACACGCATTCGCGCCAAGGTGTCAGGAAGGTGCGGTGCCCATGCGCGCACCACGCACACGCACCAAGTGCAGCGAGGCCCTCAAGGAGCGGCAAAAAAAGGCGAAGCCTGTCGGATCGAGCAGAGCCAGGGGGACGAAATCCGCAACGGCACACGGTCAGGAACGGAATACTGAAGTCAAGTTCCTCCTCTGACTGCTCGCGCGAGAGGTAGGACGGCAAGAGCGGGCGGCAGAGCACCGCTGCGGGTGGCGGAGGAGGGGCGGCCGACAGCAAAAGCATCGCGCCCACGCCCCGTCCCCAGCCGAACGACTCTCGACTGCGGCGCATACGAAGTGTTGTCGGTTTTTATGGCGCGCGGCGCTGCACGGGTGCAGCGTGCTGCGGGAATGCGGCGGGCGCGCGGCTGGCCAGGACGAGGTGGGGCCCAGAATGCAGCGGTTAGCAGAGAGGGGAGCCTTTCAGCTCGCCGCTGCTCGCAGACGGGAGGCGAGCAGCTCGCAGCGCTGGCGCTGCAAAGGCGAGAGGCTCAGCTGCGTGGCCTCGGCGACGGCGTCCTGGACGTAAAGGCGGGCCGTCCTCGCCGAGGCCCACCTGCCCCGGAGCAGCGTCTGCTCCATCGAGCCGTGGCTGCGGAAATCGGCGGAAGCCCCACCCCGCCTCCAGCTGTACAAGGTCAGCTTGGCGTCTTGCAGCTCTAGCAGCTCGCGCACCTGGCCGAAAATGCGCATGAAGCTGCTCGGCTCCATCCCGAGGCACAGGTCACTCTGTCGTGCACCGGCCTTGGCTTTGGCCAGGAGCGCGACCGCCACTGCGCTCCGCACGAGCACGAGATCGCGGGCGCCCGTCTGGTGCTGGCTCTTGGTGTTGCGCAGCTGCAGCATTTCCTTGCGCTGGGTCGGGTACAGCTGCACATCGGACCACGCGAGCGAAGTCATCTCGCCCGTCCAGAGGAGCGTGTCAAAACCCGCCACGAGCGTCGCCGCCGCGCCAAGCTGGCCCACGGCCACAAACGCCCCCGCAAACGCTGCCGCGATCAGCGGCCCGATTGGCAGCGCCAGGCCAGCCGGCTCCAGACGCTGCCGCATCTTGGCGAGGCGCCAGCTCTCCTTGAGGTGCCCTCGCACCGGCGGGAACTCGCGAGCGACGCCCGCTATTTCATTGTTAATCTCGAACAGAGAGCCGACATTCAGCCACCGGCTCTCGATAAGGGCGCACACTCCAGCGTCAACCTGGGACGGGGTTCGAGGATTTCTCTCCTCCCTGATCCAGAAGTCGACGACCTCATCGACTGCCGCCCGATACCGCTGCAGGGTGAGGAGCGCGACCATCGCCTCCCGCAGTGGCACGGCCCTCGCTGCAGCACGCCTCGCCACTGACTTGCCTGCTGCCTGCTTCACCTTCTCCGCTGCCGAAGCTCCACCGCGACGGCGCGCCCGCGGGCATGTCGCCCGCGTCGCAGCAATTAGCCGTAGAGCGGGTAGCCGGCCGTCGCGACGAGCAGGGAGTTGAGCCTGCGGAGGGCGGGCTGGAGCGCCCGCGCGCTCGACCTGCCCTTGGTGCTGACGGCAGCGATCGCATGGGCATCGAGGATGCGCAGGTACCTGCAGTGGTGGCCCTCGACCACCCACCCTGCACCTCCAGCGCGCGCCTGCAACTGCGGCCTCCAGCTCCAACGCCGAAATGTGAGCCGCGCGCTGCTAACGAAAGCCCTTGGCGATCCGCCAGGCCCAGGGGTGAGTGCGGAGGGCAGCCCGCGGCCACGCCCGGGCGCGGCACGGCGCACCCGTGTCCAGCCGGACGTCGGTGCCTCCACGGTCGGCCACCCGCAGGAACTCCACGATGAGGCTTCGCTCCAGCTGGGGGTCGCGATGCCCTAGCTGCTGGAAGCCGGGGACGACGTTCCAGTTCGCCTCGCAGGCGCCCACGGCAAGGCAGCTCTGTCCCAGCATAGCCGCCGCAAGCGCTCCCACTTGAGCCAGCCACGAGCCGAGAAGATACGTGATGACCTGGACGCAGAACGCGTTCCCAATCAGGGACTCGATGATAGCGTCGCGCTCTGATGGGGCGGAACTATCTTTTGCAGCGGCCTGGAAGTAGAGGCGGTCGAACTCCACCAGCGCCCCGCGCTCCTCTGCAGGCAGCCGGCCCCGCCCACGCTGCGCGTCCCAGACAAGACTGCCGTCCTCTTGGTTGTTGACCTGGTAGCGGTAGCCGTCTGCTGCCCACCGCTGCGCCGCCGCCAGGGAAGCCGCTCAAGCCCCACAGGTCGGAGCGGCGGGTGCTTCCGGGGGATCGGCCGCGCGAAGCACGGGAGGTCCGCCTCGGGGTCCAGCAGCGTCCAGCCCTCACGCGGAGGGATGCTGCCAGCGGCAGCCGCTCCACCGCGAGCGCGACCTTGAAGTGGGCTGCCGCACCCTCGCCCTAGGCTTCGACCGCGGCGTCCGAGGCGAGGCAAGACACGACCGGCCATGAGCACCAGCACAGTCGCGGGCGCCTGACGCGGGTGAGGAACTTGGCGTCCAGGAAGACCGGCGTCACTCCCAGCACCCGCGAGAACTCTGCCCGCGACTCGAGGGTCATGCTGAGCACGTTCTCAACGAGCCACATGGTGCGCTTGGGAAGGCGGCCTCCGCCGCCTCGATCAGCTCCGGGATGGGGTAGAAGAGCTTCGACCGCGGGCCTGAGAGGCCAGCTCCCACCGCGTTGACGCCCGCGAGGTCCTTGCAGGGGCTTCCCGCGGTCAAGACCACCCAATCTGCGCTCCTCGCGTGCCCGGCCAGCATCTCGGTGAACCGCTTGGCGTCGACGGCCTCGATGATCCCCAGCTCGGTGACGCCAGCCCAGAGCCGCCGCACCAGCCGGCGAGCCGCGGGGTCAACCTCACAGGTGACGTGGGCAACCACATTGACAGGCAGCCTGGCAGCGGCCACCGCAGCGCCTGCTGCCCGGGACCATGTTGATGATGAGCCGCTGGACGCACGCCTGGCCTGGTGAGGGCGCCCCTCCTTCGGCAACGCCACAGGCCCCTGCCAGCACCTTCCGGTTCCCGACCTTGAAGACGCGGTCCTCGGCGATCGGCGTCGCGAGTCCGAGCTCGACCATCGTGGCCCCGATCTTGTACCACTCCTGTCTGGTCTCGGCCTGGACCGCCGCTCGCGGGACCTCCTGCGGCCATTCGGCCCGGGGTAGGATGGCCAGCGCTGGGTCAGCCAACCAAGCGCCCACCTGCGGGTCTGCGATGTCGAGCGCCTTGACCGAGGCTGCGACCCGACGCCCAGGGAGGCCCGGCAATAATCCAGCAAACGACAGCGGGGGCGCCCGTGATGTCTCTTCCCCGCCGTAGGAGATGCTCTTCGCCGCGATGACCTCGTCCCAGTCGAGGGAATTCGATCGACGAGGCTGACGACGTCCCAGTCGAGTACGCGCAGGCGCGGCCCACGATGTCCAGCGCACTGGCCTGCCCTGCAGTGGGCCGGCGCGGGGGCGCCCTCGGGTGCCGCATGCGCCCCGTGCACTGGTAGTTCAAGCTGAAGACGACAAGCTGCGCCCAGCCCTGCGCAACTGCCCCCTCCCGCTCGCTCTCGACCAGCTGCTGGCCCTGGTACCAGGCGGCGCGGTGCTTCTCGAAGAGCGGGGCGTCGGGCACTGGCAACGGTAACACCCCGCTCAGCCGCGCGAAGCTCGCCGTGGAGTCTGGCGGAGCGCACGTCTTTCTGACAGACCGCCCGATCGCCCCCGGAGCACCGTGGATCGCCTCGTGGACGGCCAGCGCGATCTTGAACTTGGAGCTCGGGCCGGTGCTCACTTCGCTCAGCATCTGCCGCCAGCGCTGGACCTGCGAACTGCCTCGCAAGCGCCGCTCAGGCCCACCTGCCGCGGGCGAGGGCGCGCTGTGGCCTGGCTGCCCCGCCTGGCCTCCCAGGGGAGGCCTCAAGCTGGGACCCAGGGCGCCCGTGGCCTGGCGCCCTTCTGGGATTCCTTGCCCTGCTTGCCCTTGCTCTGCCCCTTGGTGCCCGCCACGGCACCTCGAGGGTGGAGCACGCGAGCCTTCCACGCATTCTGGGTCTCGCCCTCGCGCCGCGGCTCGGCGCGCCTCAGGTCGCCCCAGCTCCGACCGGAGGCTACCGCCGCCTCCGCAGGCCGCTCGATCAGGTCCGCGGCCGAATCCCCGTCGGAGTCGCTCGCCAGGGAGTCGCTCGCCAGCCGGACGTCGCGCGCCGGGCTCCAGCTCCTCGGCCGCGGCGCTGGAGGGGGCCCTCGGGCTGGGGCTGCTGGCCCGCCGCTCGCGACTCGGCCCGCCAGGATCCGCATCGCCTCCGCCGAGCCCGCCACTGGCGCCCCAGCTCTCAGGGTCGGGGGCCGCGCTTCCGCGCGGCCATGCCTTGCGGGAGCCGCCCCCCCCCCTCACTGGGGACGGCTCCCGGCCTGACCTCTATACCGACCGACGCTCGGCCAGCCGCTGCCGCAGCCCGGCGACCTTCAGCTCGCGGGCCTCGACCTTCTCGGCGGCGGTCTCCTCGTCCAGCGTGGCTCCCGACGGCAGCTGCTCCTGCGGCACCAGCGTGAGCCACCGGGCCGTCCGCCAGTTGCCGTCGCGCACCGCCATCGTCCTCGCCTTGAACTCCTGCATCAGCAAATCTGCGGCTCGACGACCTCGCCGCGCAGGATGCCGTCGAGCGCCTGGCCCAGCATGCGCAGGACCTGCACCTCGCCCGCCCCGAGCGTCCGAAGCGGGTGGGCGACGAAGAAGACCGCGTTCAGGTACTGGGTGACGCACGGCGCGAGGGGGTCGCCCTCGGAGCCCGCGAGCAGCTGGGTGAACTGCCCGCGCAGGTGGCTCAGCCCGGTCTCGAGCAGCACCCGGGGCCGCTGCCGCGCGATCTTGCAGAACAAATCGCGCTTGATGCCAATGCCCTGGAACCGCTCGAGGTTGCCACCCCGCTCCGAGTCGCTCTCCAGGCCGTCGTCCACCTCCTCGCCGTCGCGACCCAGGAGTGCCGAGGCCAGCGCAGTCGCCAGCCTGCTCCGCGAGCCCGAGCCAGCTGCACAGGCCGGCGCCGCGGCTGCAGATCGCCCTGCCACCGCCTGGGCCAGCCGCTCGCCCACGCCGCCCACAGGTCGAGCGGCGTTCTTGGGCATCCCCTGCTTCGGCACGCCCCTCATGGACTTGCCCCCTAGCCTCGCAAGGCGGTGGCCCAGCTCCGGGCCCTCCGCGATCTCCGCGAGTCCGGCCAGCTCGTCGTCGAGGGGGCTCGCGCTGGCAGGCTCTGCAGGGGTCGCCGCGCCGCCATCGCCTCGCACTCGCTTCCGAGGAGGCTCCGCGATGGGCTCGTCCTCCTTTTGACCGTCGCCGCCGAAGAGGGCGTCCTCGGGCCCAGCTGCGCCCGCCAGCGGCCCCCCGCGGCGGGCGTGGGAGCCATCGCCAGGGCCCCTGGGGCTGCAGGAGGGCAGATCAGCTTCGCCTGCTCGCGCTCCACGCTCCGGCCGTCGAGGAGCTGCCACACGTCGAGGCGCTCCACCTCCGCGCCCAAGGGAGCAACCGCCCCGCAACGGCTGGCAGCACACACACACACACAAGTGGAAGACTGTCGAGGCCGCCCGAGCGCCCCTCTGGCCTACCACGGGTCGCTGGCCCCGACGTGGCGCGCCTTGAAGAACCTACCAAAAGCGCCCGGGAGGTACGGCACCTCCACCTGCAGCATCTCGACCTTTTGGGGGGCGCCGCTGTCGTCGTGCACCCGCGCGAGCACCAGCGCGCCCGCGGGGAGCGGGAGGCCCGGAACCAGCTCGCCGTTGAGCTCCGCGTCCAGCCACGCCCCGCGCGGGGACCCCGCCCCCACAGTACGGCGCTAGCGAAAGCGCGGCCTGCTGTAAGGCCGCGGGACGTGCCAGCCGCGAAGCGGTCAGAAGCGGGCCCTCAGGAGAAGATGATCATGATACCAGCAGCACAGCTCTCCCCTTTTTGCTGCTGCGCTGGCCGCACGCTCCTCCCGCCGGCGCTGGCGGCGCCAGGCGGGCCCCTCCTTCCGCCACGCGAGGCGGGCCTCGCCGCGGTGCCTCTGGACACCGAGGCAAAGCCCAGGGTGGGCGGGCAAAAGAGGGCCCGTTCGGGCCCTGGGAGGGCTTCGAGCCCCGAAGGCTAGAGCGGGAGAGAGGGAGAGAGAGGAGCAAGCAGAGGCAAGGGCAGGGAGAGAAAGGAAACCCAAGCCGACTGGGGAGGGCGGGGTCCAACCGTTTAGGACAAACAACTAAGACCCCGCCCCCACAGTACGGCGCTAGCGAAAGCGCGGCCTGCTGCAAGGCCGCGGGACGTGCCAGCCGCGAAGCGGTCAGAAGCGGGCCCTCAGGAGAAGATGATGATGATACCAGCAGCACAGCTCTCCCCTTCTTGCTGCTGCGCTGGCCGCACGCTCCTCCCGCCGGCGCTGGCGGCGCCAGGCGGGCCCCTCCTTCCGCCACGCGAAGCGGGCCTCGCCGCCTTTGTTCTAGCGATGCTTGTGCTGCTGCCAGTGACCCTGCACACTGGCCTGGCGGACTCTGCACGCCAGCATTGCTGCGTGGGCGCCATGATGGGCGCCATCAAAATTGGGTGCCAGGCCCTGTGCAGCCGGCACCGTCTAGACTCTGGGTCGCGCACAGCCAGGCGCAGGCGCCGGCGCGCGCGTGGGGCCCAACTGGCCCTCCTGTCTACCGATCGCCGCCAGGCAACTGATGCCGGCGTGCGCGGCTGTCCTCCGTGAGGCTAGGCCTTGGGCTCACGCCAGCGCACTGATTGCTGGCGGAGCCCGACCTCGGGGCAAGGCCCGAATATGCCGTCGGTGGCACTTGGCACAAGCCGGCGCTCGGCGCCCACCGTGCGCGCTGCGGCATCCAATTCTCCCGGCTCCCCGCCCCCCCCACGGGTGCTCGGGGCGGGCAGGGTCCGGCCCCTGACAGAGGGGGTTCCCCGGGCCGGGACTAGTGCGCGGGCCTGCGCCTGCGCTCGAATTATGGTGCTGCGGCTACGCTGGGCTGTCAGGTCGCCAGCTGCCGTGTCCTGTGCTGACGTCAGTGCGCCTGGCACGACCAGGCTCGACGAGGACAGCCGGCGCGCCAGGCAGGCCTCAGCATGGCCCCTGTTCGGCGGCTGCGGAGGGCGCCCACAGTATCCCAAGCACTAGTGGGGCCCGAAGCGGACAGGCCTGCGCGCGCACGACCGCGCTGAAGTATTGGCCAGTGCCGAAGGCACGGGTGGGTGTGTCCTGCGGGCGCGCGGCTGATCTGCCGGCGGCGCGGGGTGGTTGAGTTACAGCACTCAAGCGCGCACGGCGGTTAGGCCTGGGCTGGGCGCACGCCAGGTGTGCAAGCACCGGCGGCGCCCGCTGCGGCCCCTCATCATGGGCTCTCACGCCTGGCGCCCTCGGCGCCGGCGGCGGCCCTGCGGAGGGCGCTGTCCTTCGCCAGATTGGTCAGCGAGGAGGTGCCCCTGGCCATCTTGCCGGAGATGCCCTTCATCGGCTCGTGCGACTCCCACAGGTAGCCGTGGAACGCGTCCGACTGCCAGCGCCCGAACCGGCGCACCCGGGAGAGGTCTTCGGACACGTGGTACATCGCGGCCGCCCCGCCGATCCTCAGGGAGCGGCTGCCGATCTCCTCCCTAGAGAGCCCGGCGGCCAGCCCCGCGACCGTCAGGAAGTGCTGCACCTCCGCCCTGCGAATTGGGGTACCTGACGCCCAGCGGAAAAGGGGCAGCCGTTCTTCGGTGCCCTTTATCCGCTGGGGATGGTGAGCCTGGAGCCGCTCCATCGCCGCGATGGGGCAGAGCGTCGTTCCGGCGCGGTAGTGGTTCCTCACCGAGCCGACGTTGAGCTGGTCCGTCTTGCTGCCCTTGATGTAGATCACCATCTCGTCGGCGTCCTGGAAGCTGGGCACGCGCTTCCCGGCCTTCCTGGGCTCTACGTCCTCCCCGCGCAGCACGCGCTCGCATGACCACGAGCGCCCGTCCTGAAGCAGGTACTCTGAGGCCCTCAGGAGAAAGAAGAACGCTGTCACAATTGCCGCCCAGATGACCACTGTGTCCTCCTCGGGGAGCTTGGCTTCCTGCTGGAGAAAGCCGCGGAGCCACTCGAGCATGGCTGGGGTGACGGGCTTCTTCCGCTTGGTCTCGGGCCCCTGCCAGCGTTTCAGCCCCGCCAGGGTGCTCCAAAGGCGACCTCTGTGGAGCAAGGGGTCCGAGTAGCCAGCCACCAGGTGAGCGTAGCGCACCGCAAAGAGCTTCTGCTTGATGGTCCCTTCAGTCCTCCCAACGACGCGCGCGAGGAGGACGGCGAAGTTGATGAGCGCCTCCTCGTCGGCCAGGCGCTCCTCGCGGTCGCGCCCTGGGAGCCAAGGGCTGAGCCCCTGCGCCTCGCGCACGGCTACCCAGAGCCGCCATCCCCCCTCGTAGCCCGCTCTCGTGCCTTCGCTGAGTTTTTGCAGCATGGCCTCCATCTTCTGCTGCGCGAACCAACTGGCGTAGCCGGCCCCGCCTGGCTCAGCACGGCCGGCGGGGGCGAGCTCCTTCCCGGGGTAGTTGCTCTTCCTCGCTCTTGCCCAGCGCCTGTGGCTTCACCAGGTTGGTCGCCGGCATCTCCTTGGCACGTCGGGGGCTCTTCTTGCGTGGGCTCTTCGAGCGGGTCACACGCTTGTCCAGCTTGACCTCTTCTGCGGCTGGGGCCTCGCGAGGTCCGATGAGCGTGTCCTCGATTTCCCGGAAGCGGACTGCCTGGGCACGCCGACGATTCTTGTGCATCTCATCAGTGAGCGCCCCTCCTGCCCTTGCCTCGTCCTCCGCCGCCAGCGCGAGCGCGGGCCGATCTGGTGCTTGCGCCCAGGCGCGGAACCAGCGCTTGGTAGCATCCCACGCAGCCTGCTCCTCTGGATCATGGCATACTCCGGCGCGCTGCGTGCTGGTACTGCTGAGAGCCTCCGCCACTGCGGCCAGCACCGCCTCTGCGGTCCTCGGTGGGAGAGCTCTGGCCGCGCCCTTCAGGAGCTCGTCCTCCGTGGAGCCCTGGGCCCGCAGGTTGGCCCACTCGTCGTCGGTCCCTCCCTGCACCCGCCAAACCTCCTGGGGTGTCAAGGCACGGACCGTGCCTCTGCCACGCCCGGTGACTCGGAGAAGCGTCGCACCGGGTCCCTGGGGTCCTGTCCCCGGCCAGCGGATGGTGCCTACAGGCCCCTCTTCACTGTAGATCAGGTGCTTCACTCCATCCCTTTTGAGATGCCCGACTGGCTTGAGGAGGAGGGGGTCGCTGGTGGACTGGATGCGGGGGTCCGACGACACTTCGCCTTGCTGGTCGAGCCAAAGGTGGTCCCCCCCCTTGTCCAAGAGTGGCTTGACGCCGGCAGCTCGCGAGCAGGCCGGCGGCATGTTAATGCTCGCCAGGCCCGCCCCCGCCTTCCGACGCCCGCCCGTGAGCACCTGCCTGGTCCGCGTGGTGGCATCCCCGCGGCGCGTACAGACCACCTCAAACTTCGAGACCACGTAGCCCAGCTGCTTGAGCGCCTTCTCGAACCTGGCCGTGTCCACTCCGTTCGGGGCGTCCACGATCACCACTTCAGGGCCTTCGCTAGTCGCTGCGACGAGGAACGCCTCCATCTCCCTGCCCTTGGGGTCCAGAGACAGCGACGCCATGAGCCATTCTGCTTTCTGGTTCTCCTCGGGTTCCGATCCACCGAGGCGCTTGAGGGCCTTCACATAGGGGTTGAGGAGACTCCCCACCTCTCTACCCAATTTCCTGTGGAGCGGGAGGGGTTTCGGCGGCCCATGCCCCCGCTGGAGTGCTCGGTGTCGAAGGGTGGCTTCGGCCACTGGGCCAGTCTCCCCTGGGAGACGAAGAAGGCGCTCCTTGGCGTCCTCCAGGATCTGGCCCCAGGCCGCGGGGGGCTCGAGGCGCTTCCATCCCGCGGTAGCCAGCGTGTCGTGAACCTTCTTGACCTCCTCGCGGGTGAGCCAATCGGCCACCTCGTTGTGGTAGGTCCGAACAAAGAAAGAGACGATGCGGCATCCGTGCATGGCTTCAATCCTTTCCACTAAGCGGATCAGGTGGCGTGCGAGGGTGTTCTTAGGGCTTCTTCTGGTGAGCCACGCCTTCACGTTCTGATTGTCGGTGACGTAGACCATCAGCTCACCTTCCCACTTCGGGCCCTGCTTCGTGGCCAGCGCGACCACTGCCAACAGCTCGACCACCGCGATGATCCAGTCCTCCTCGCTGCTTTCCCCTCCGACCGCCTGGCTCAGGGCCTCGAGCAGAGGCCCGGCATCCGCGGCCATGTACTCCGGCGTGGGCGTGGCTCCTCCTGCAGTTGCGCTCCCCCAGTCGATGGCGCCGATTGAGGATGTGGTAGCGTCGCCACCAGTCCACCTCGTGGTGCGTGCTGTTCCCGGCAACGCGAGGCGTTCACGCACTGAGAGCGCCTGCGTGAAGCTAGCCTGGAAGATCGTGCTCCAAGCCTCGGGGACGTCGAAGAGCATCCTCAGAAAGCCTACGGAGGCGCCCCACTCCTCCCAGGCGAGCTCGACTTCTTCGGGTGTACCTTTCGGCTCCGCCCAGCTCGTCCCGCTGCTCAGGAGCCGGTCCAGGGCAGGTAACTCAGGGCGGAGGGCAGGCTGCGCTGACGCCCAGAACTGAGCACAGCCTCGCAGCTCTTGGGCGACCTTCAACGGGACCCGTCCTGATCCCCTGAGCTCCGGAAGGGCGAGCAGGTACTGGGCCTTGATGCACTTGGGCTCTGGGAGCCTAACCACCTTCGTCTCGAAGTTCATGTGGAGGCCCCAGATCAGCTGTTCTGCGGCAAACTCCCCCTCGACGTCCAGCTTCTCCTGGTTGACCGCGTCTGGGCCCCAAACCCGCTTCATGGCCCCGTCGAGCTCCTCGGCCGAGAGCCAGGGTCGGAGGCCCACCAGCGGTTCGAGGACAACACCGTCGTCCATCAGCCACTTGGAGGCGTACTTGACAGTATCGTTGATCCTGGGCGCCGGCGGCTTCCTCCTCTCGTGCTCGCTCTTGGCCGCCCAGGCGAACGCCATGCACTCACCGGGGCTACCGGCCCAGCCGAAGACCAGCACGCCATGGATCAAGATATCTCGCCCTGGTACCCCGACCTCCTTGCCCGGGAGCGTCGCCCCAACCTCTGGCACGGCAGCTGGCTCCAGGCGGTGCCACTTGAAGGCCTGGCCACGTCCCGCTTCGCGACCACCTGTTGAACGCCCGGGTGCCTTCCCACCAGAGGCTGAGCCGAGCAAGCCCTCTGTGGAGGGGCTGCTTAGCTGGTGGGTGCTGTTCCTTCGGGGAGAAGGCGTTGGCCGCGCGCATGTCGTGGATCGGCCGGCCCTCCTTCGAGATGGTCCGGTCCGGCAGCGTCTTGGGGACCCTCCCGCTGGGCGACTCGACCAGAGCCGAGGCGGCGAGCACGTCTTCGACCTCGTCTGAGGCCCAGAGGACTACGCCGTAGCGGCTGTCTTTCCAGGCCTTCTCGAACATCTCCAGCGCGTGGTCCACCGCAGAGGAGTGCGACTTGGCCTGCGTGCGCACCCGCTCCTCCGTGCGCCGCACGGGGACTCGTCCGGCGGCCATCGCCCGGAGGTAAGCGGCGTGGCGTGGGTCCAAGGACTTCTGCACGTCTTCCCCGAGCACACCACCCAGCGGGTTCCCGTGGATCTCCTCCCGCGCGTGCTTCAGCAGCTCGGCAGCCCTCTCTACGCTGCCGGCGAGGCGGAGGAGTGAGTTACCTCGCTTCACTACTTCTGGCACCCTCTCGGGCTGGAAGTCGGGGTGGTCTGCGCACCACTTGACGTAGGCGCGCGCCTCCTCCTGCTCCTTCCCTCTGCCGGTGGCTGCCGGTGCCTCCTCCAGCGGGGGCCCTCCGCAGCGACCTCCACGCGGGGGGGCTGGCCAGGATGGCGGCATCATCGGCGGCATGCCCGGCGGCCGGCAAATCTGACCTGGGAGGAGCGGGCGCCATCCTCTCGGCCTCAGCAACGGCTGGACTGTGCGGGCCGGGGGCACGGGTGGCCCCGCCGGCTCGTCCTGGCGAGGCCCGGGCTGCGCGGGGCACCCTTTGGGAGCTCTGGAAAGGCTCTTCCCTACTTTGCCTGGCTGCTTCTACGTGCCCAGGCCAGAGGCTCAGGGGGTCTGAATCCTCTGGGATGGGCGGGGCTGGTCCCGCCCGTGTCCTCGCGCACGGCTCCTCCACTGCTTCGCTCTCCGAGCTCTCGACGGGGTCCGCGTCGTCGCTCAGGGGTTCTTCCTCTGCCCTTTCGTACACGATTCTCTGGCGCTTCTTCGCAGGGATATCGTCCAGCTCTCCTGCTTTCACCATCTTGCGGGTTAGCCTCTCAAGGATGTCGACGTACTCGCCCGCGATCTCGCCCTGCTCGTCATAGGCGGTGCCAGTCCAGCTTCGCGGTAGGTCCTCAAACATGGAGCTGATGCCCTCGATCAGGAGTTCGCGGGCCTTCCTCCTCCGATCTGGCCCTGTGGGATCGTTGGCCGGCACTCCGAGCAGGTTGTTCAGGATACAATGGGCGCCGGCGGTAAACCGTCAACCTTGGTTACCGCCGGGAGACTCGTAGAGCTTCCTAGCTCGACTAAGTTGAGAAAACCGACAGCACCTGACACCATTCCGACTTATAGTGAATATTTTTTCACCTCTCAATGCGACAGGCGGACGCGTCTGATGTCTGCGAATCGACTCCTGTCATTACCAGCCCTGCACCCCCCTACAGCCCGAGTTCGGTGTTTGGTCAGGCTACACAGGGCGCGTGCGCCCAAGCCTAAGGGCTAGAGCCAGTTAAATCCGCCTCCTCCGCTTTGCAGAGGAAATTTCTTTAACGATGTGCTCCACACCTGTGCACAGGCGCTCGGCAGCAGATAATTCTGCCTCCGTCACGGTGGCTCCTACATCAAACATGTAGGCTTCTGAGCTCACGAGTGTCCACGGGCCATTCTCTGGAGCAACTTCGATCCAGTGACCTCCTGCGGCACCCTCACTGCTCACTCCACCATCCCAGCATCCTCTGATGTATTTGATGTTTGTCCTGTTCTGTTTGATATAGTCGTGCTTGTAAATTATGTAACAGTTTCCTTCTCTCGCATGGTGTGTAAGCTCATCAGCATAGGCATTGGCTTCCCTATAGATATGTTTCCAGAAATCCCTACCGTACGTCGGGCATCGTATGTTGTGTTGTTCACTCACGTCATACATGATATTTTGTATCCTGGCGATCCGTTTGGCATACCCACTGTTGTCACAAGCCCAGACTCCCCTCAACCATTGTACGACCGTTTTACTGTCCCCGCACATTTCAACAGCGATACCTTCCATCCCAGGGTCCCATATCGTAGTTTGTTCATTAATAACTGCAAGACGTCGGGCCAACTCGTCATCTGTCGGTGTCTTCGCAAACCCTCCCATCCTCCTCTCCTTACTCCTCCTCA